AATAAAGTTAACATGATGTATAAAATTAGCAGACTCTGATCCGAGACCATTAACTCTTCCTTTAATTGGTCATCCAGTTGCCTCGAGCCAAGCATTATCAACAACTTCTTTAGGTAGAGCATGCACCATTTCCATGAAGGCCTCATCTCCATTAGCATAATCTTCTTCCTCGTCGTCGTTTATTGTTGTATCCTCATTTCCTTCTCCATCGTCATTGTTATCTAAACGCCTTCGCTTGATGATTGTCGAAAATTTATCCTGATACGATAAAATTGATAATAAATTAATCCAAAATATAGAGTAATAGAAAATTAGCAACATCAGATGTATTTCAATTAGAAGAATCATATATATTTCACTAAAAATCAATACCTCAAAGGAGCATATTCAAGCAGTTCATAAGTGCATTATCAGTACAGTTCAAAGGAGCATATTCAAGCAACTAAAGATGAATATTAAACATCAGTCCTTCTAAATTTAAAATGGATTTTAACAGCAGCTGTTAAACATTATGTGATTGAAATAAAATATAAAATTAGAATCATACCCATACACACTTTGATTTACGATCAATCCAATCATTATTTCCTTTTGTCTAATGAGTCATCAAAAATAACTATGAGGCAGTAGGCTCTCTCCCTTTCTCTTTAACCTAAAGAAACGAGCAAATAGTTAATTGAAGATTAAATAATTCAATTATCAAGAATAAAGTACAAAATTAATACTTACATATCTTCTTTTATATTCCGAAATAAGAATTGATCCTCCTATGTGCAAAGATGTGCCTTGATCATTTATACTTGATTTTCTGTTATTGGAATTAATTTCAGATTTATTTTATAAATTTGTCAGTATTCCAATAAGCCATCAATTCCTGCCAATGATTCCGATTGATCCAGTTGGGTATTATATTTGTCTCAATATATCGCTTTTTAGCTTTGTTCTAAGAATTCCTCAAACTGGTACTTCTTTTGCGTTCGAAATGTCTTCTTACTGTCAAATGATTATCCTCTGCCCAATTATACATCTTCTGTAAATATTCAATAAAAATAACACTTTAGCAAACCATACAAATTAAAAAAAAATGAGCTACATAATTAAGTAGCAAATATATCAAGATAATTGCATTTCATAGGAATATATACTCCAGAATACTACGCACACACTTGTCTAGACTGACTCATAATACAATAAGAGCAGTGATAAAACGAATAGTTTGAGAAAGCAAGTTAATCAATCCATCATGAACATCCTCACCTAATAATAATGAGAGGGCAGATTAATAAAGTTGCAAACATTTTTCTACCAGACTCTAAGTTTCTACCAGCTTACGTGTAGCAAAAAGGTAAACAAAAGACAGCAAATAATTAATTATACTATTCATAGAAGAAACAAACAGGAGATTGCATTAATCCATTACAAAGAAATAAAAAAATAAATAAATAAATAAATAAATAAATATTAGTTAATTAAAAATATAATACCTGAAATTCTCCAAACCAACTATCTCTGACATGATTTGGGACACTGTTCCATGTAGGCCATAGACCGCTAAATGATTTCTTGAATATTATAACCAAATTTCTCGAAGCATTCGAAGGATTAAAACTGTTCAATAAACTATAATTAATATTCTTTCACAATAATATATGTTTCAAATATTAAATAAATTTACCTGTCTCTATCCACTTTCAGCAATATTCGGTTGCTCGAGATTCTTTGTTGTGATGCAAGACTTGATTGTGAATCTCTAACTTCCCCTTGCTTTGATAGAGGTGTTTGTGGTTGTGGTTGTGATGAATTCTCACGGCTCGCTCGTCTAACACCTCCTCATCGTGGCATTTTTCTAAAAAAACAAACAAAGAAACAAATAAAAAGAAAAACATAAAGTGTTCAGGCATATGGATTTGTGAAACATGTCATAATCTAAGCAGCAGCCGTCTTGGTTATAAGAGACTGGAGAGGTATAAGGAAGTTGAGGATTTTGGAGCATCCGACGATGGCGGTTGAGGATGCAGCCATGCGGAGGAGGAAAAGTTAAAAGGGTCTTGAAAAGATGTTTGGAACACTGGTGGAAGAGAATTCAACGGGAAAGATGGTGAGGAAACTGTTAGAACCGGTTGCAGGTCATTTTTCCAACCAAATATGTAGCAGGGTGCAAAATGTCAAGCAAGTTGTAATTAGAGGGTGCAAATTGCTACTGTTTCAATTGAAGGGTCCAAAGTGCCAAATGCATGTAATTCGAGGATGCAAAATACCAATTACCCCCCATGTTTTTCACCAAATATGAAGGCATGAAACAAGAAAGTAAATTTACCCTATCAATCCAACTAAATAAGAAACAGAGGCCATTAAAGTTTAATTTTTGAGATTGTAAGTGAACAAATATAAAGATGGGAAAAGTGTCATTGGCAAACAATTTTTTTTTATGTCTGGGCAATATCAAATTCGCACAATTAATAGGTAAAAGAATTAATTGAAGCATCTATTTCACATACAAAAAATTTCAGTTTATAAAAAAATCATAATTTCAGTTCATCAAAAAATCATAGAAAGTAGTTTCTAATCAATATTTTTTCAATACAAACAAAAATTAAAAGGGGGGGAGTCAGACTTACCCAAGAGAGGCGTCGTTCGTGGCGGTGGCTTCTCGTGGCGCCGCGGCGGTGGCTGGTCGTGGTACCGTGCGCGGTGGCGGCTAGTTGCGGGGCCGGCAGTGGGGATTTGCTCGTCGCGTAGGTGGTGGTGGCTTTCGTGGTGCTGCGGTGGTGGTCAGTCGTGGCGCCGCGGTGGTGGCCATTGCGAGGCGTGCAGTTGAACCGTCCCTGCCCTCTCAATTTCTCAAAGTAGTTCTCACAAATTGTATAGAAAGGGTTTTATGTTTCTTTTAATTAGGATTACTTTTTCCTTTTACCACAATAATTAATTAATGGCAGAAAAGTAAATAAAAGTGATTCATACATACACTCATGTATCACTTTTAATATACTAAAACTTTAAAATACATTTATGTTAATATGAAGTTATTTTTTTAGGAATAATAATAATAATAATAATAATAATAATAATAATAATAATAATAATAATAATAATAATAATAATAATAATAATAATAATAATAATAATAATAATAATAATAATAATAATAATAATAATAATAATATAATAATGTACTTTTGAAATGGATTTGTTAGTCATTGCTAATATCCGTCACTACAGTTTCGCAAATTATTTATCTTAGATACGGATATAGTTTTCGTTGCTAAAATCCGTAGCACTTACTGATTGTTCTAAACCCAAGGGACGATTATAGTTGCCGTCACTAAATTTGTCGCTCAAATTAGAAACGAATTTGTTATCCCTTGCTCAAATCCGTTGCCACACAATTTTCCTAGCAACAAATATGTAGTCGTCGCAACATATGTTGCTACAAATTTATTTTAGAAATAGACTTAATATTCGTCGCTAGGGTTCGTTGCTACTTACCTACACTTGCAACGACTCTATTTGTTATCGCTATATTTGTTGCTGGAACATTATTTTTGAAACAAACTTATCAGTTGTCGCAAACATTCGTCGCTAAAAGCAGAGTAACACCACCAAAGGGACGATTTCATCTTCCGTCACTAATGCTATTGCTAAATCTTTACCGTAGCAACGAATCAGTTATACGTTGCCAATGTCCGTCGCTAATCGGCGATTTTCTAGTAGTGAACATTCTAAACAAAAATTAATTTTGCAAAATCTTTTGATAAAACATAAAATCGTGTAAAATTTTGACAAAACATCTGCCAGTGAAAAGATTATAACTTATTTACATCGATCCTTCAACTTTTGCCAAAACAATTAAACCAAAACGAAAATTAGTTGTCTAAGAAGTTGTCGGACAAAAAGTAGCATATTATAAACATAAATCAGTTTTGCAAAATCTTTTGGTACAACTTATTTATATTTTTGTCAAACAACTTCATGTTTTTCTTAAACATCGAAAGACAGTATTTACCAAAAGAAGAAGCCGTAGGATTATGAAAAAAATAAAATTGAAATATTCTAAGCAAACAGTAAACGGTGTCAAAAAATCTGCCCGAATGAAAATCAGATTTATTTACATTTTTTTCTAACGACATCTTCACTGAAAAGATTGAACCAATGTATTAAAAAAAAAAAAAAAGAGTTGTGCAGAAGGGGCGACCGGATGATAAAGAACAAAACTAAAACATTCTAAAGAGAGTACAAATTGCAAAATAGGTCACCTTTCATGAAGCCGTGTGATTATGAAGATGAATACTGGAATGGGGGAGAAACAAAGATTATGAAGTTTTAGATGATTAAGAAAGCGAGAGAAGAACGGAGAAGTGGAGAAAAACGGCTACAACGTGGGGAGAGGGCGTGAGAACTGTCGAAATAAGGAATTACTAAAACGGCTATTACGTGGATTTGGATGTTAAAGAAAACTGTCGAAATAAGGAATTACTAAAGAAAATATTAAGTGAAAAGTCATCTATGTTTTAAAGAGGAAATCAAAGTTACAAAGATGTCATTAGCGGTTTCGTAGAAATATAAAAAGTTATATATTTTTTGTAGAAAGAGACAAAAAAAAGGGGAATAACAAATAGAGTTAAGAAAAATTAATAATTAGAAAAATAAAAATAGTTACAAAAATGTAAGAGAAATAAAAATTACAACTGAATAACAAAGAATGTTTGAAAAAAATAAAAATAAAGAAATAAAGAAATTCAAAAATTTGAAGGTAAAGAATGCGTCAACTGTGGAAATAAAGAAATTCTGAAAGTAAAACATGAAAAAGTACTGAAAATCGAGTATTAGTGAAAACACGAAAACTTGAAAGGTAAGAGACAACTGAGGAGAACGGCAAGATTCATAGACTCAAGTGTTTGAAATGCTTCTTTGAAGCAAAATTTGTATGGGTTGTCTAACAAAACGTTAACACATTTAAACTAATAGGAAAAAAAAGGCAATAAATTAGCAAAGTAACGATACATTAGCAAAGTAAAGAGTTGTTGCGTATTGTTCGGGCAAATCTTACTGTGTGCGAGAAATTTTATTGTTTTTTTTCACAACCGAAATCTTTCAATAGTTATAGAAATAACAAATTGATTTAGTTGCAGGTTTGAAAATTAAAATCAGAAAAACAATTATAATGTAAAACCCAAAGAATTTAATATCATCGTATCAGAGTAAGAAAAACACATCAAATCTTATATAAACAAATAGTTTTTCGGACATCGATCATAATATAATCCTGCTTACTATCGAGCAGAGTCTAAACTTTTACACAATCTTTCATAGTAACAAAACATAGTTTATGAGTCGTATGCACTTAACACAAAATAAAACTATGTAAGATAAATAGAACCAAAAATAAATGACTGTATGAAACCACATCGAGGAAACTTACGTTAGAAAACAAATATTAGTAAGAATATTCACAACTCAATAATAAAATAATCATGGAAAATAAAACCACCCGAGAGATAAGTGATGTAGATATGCTATAATATCTAGCAAGTAATAAGAAGTTAATAAGGACAATATTTAAAATTATCGAGCAACATCATTTTCAGGTATTAGTGAATAGATTTCCAAGAGATAACACAATAAAACTCCATAGTAATCCTTTAAACAAAAATATTGTAATTCTTTTCCAAAAAAAAAATGCTCTAGAGTTGCTTCATGTTTGTGAAAGGAAAAAACTGCGAAAATCGTAAAGGTAACTATTTTTAAAAAGCAATATCTGAATGAACAAACTGAGAATTTACAAAACAACAAACATTTTTTCCTCAATCATCTAAACTCGTAAATATGAAAAACTTACCATAAATATATACCCAAAAAAAAATGCGCCTAAGAATTCGCCACACCCTCTGTAAAAGAACAAAACTCGGGTTATGCAGAGCAATATAATTCGAATGGCAGACCAAATAAAATAAATTTGAGAATAACTCGCAATACTGTAGGATTTTTCAGAGAGACAGGAGAGGCGAAAATATATTTCCCAACCATCTACCTAAAAAAATATGGGGATTCCGTGCCATTTTACCCATGAT